GTTTGTCTTGGGGAAAGCGACTATGTCAACGTATTCACAGCATAATTGGAATGACCGTTGAGAGGGGGTACGAAACATCTATACCTACCAAATCCTTAGGACAAGCACCTTCAGAGTTCCCGAATGAATTTGGCTGTAGACGTCTGATGGAAACCAATAATCCTAAGTTTACGATTTGGGATGATATTGCTGCACTTTAGAATCGATTTCAATCCGAAAAGTCTATCCAATGGAGGATTATAGTGAGCGATGTGATACCATGGAGATCCCACTTTTTCTGTTGGATTTTCTCTGCTCTCAGCCACACTTGCTATTCTTCCACTGCCGGTAAATTAACAGGAAAGCAGAAATTGTACTAGAATCCTCCCCGAATCTTATGAGCTGAACAAATGCGGGGATGGTTTGCCATTTTCCCAGTGCAAAGCTATTCATTCTAATGGGATGGACAGTTTGTAAACAAAAAAATTGCGATAGTCGAGATATCTGAGTAATTTAGTGGGATTTTGGGCAGAATCCCACAACTCCTCTGATATTCCATGGCCACTATTTCAAGGACTTTCCTTGGTGATCCATAGACCGATGCGTCTTGACAGTTCTCGGTAAATTCGATGCCACGGGATGAATCACGGACGCGCTGGGGAGCCACAGATATCATGCCTACTCCAGCTTTCTTTTTTCCAAGAGCCCAGCTCCTTAGTTCTCCTGTGTGTCTCATTTTTCCTTTGCTGAAAACTGAATCGTAGCAGATATTGAGATTGCAGCTCGTGCAGGATGTCTGTTAAGAGCAGCGCTAGATGAGCTTTTCGTAAAAAAATGTGGCGGAAATAGTATTTGTTCGGAGGGACAATACCTATGAGCCAAAGGGAGTAGTCAACATGTTGTTACTCTCGGTTGAGGATAGGCTTGTACATTTCCAGGCCACTCACAATTTCATGTCCTGCCCCTGTAGCACCCTGTATCTTCTCACTCCTTCGTATTTGAGCTCAGGCATCACTTATTGGCTGAATAATGAAGGGTCACGATAACGGATGTGAAGAGGGTGGTCCTAAACCATTATATGAGTCAATATGTCTTAGCCGGATTTGATGGCCAACATTTGTCCAGGAAATATTGGTGCATGTGAGGCCTTCACAGCCTTAAACAGGCTGAAGACTTGCCAAGAAATGATCACTTTCACTTCCAAAAAAGGATGAATGGTGATAGCTCAGTGATAATGGTCCTTCAGAGGCGGAAAAACTTGCGCTTTGGAGTTTAAGCATTTACCAGCGAAGCCAGTCCACTCATTTACTGTAAAAAAGTATCTTTCGAAGGAACAGAATACGTTTGTGGCCAGGCCTAATTGTTTCCCAGCTTCCCAGCAGTGCAAAGACAACCACGACCGAGCGAAATTCATACAAAGACCACCCACTAATTGGCACTTGAAAACATCTGTCCGGATGCAATGCGAAACGTCACGGAAGCGCTGTGTTGCGAGATGAAAGAGCACGTTGCCCTGACGAACAAATGATCGTACTCCTCCTGGGACGCCAATGGGGAACCACAAAAGCCATCCGAAATCCAAACCCACACCACGTTGTTGAGAAGCCCATTTTGGGGTCGCTGAACAGTCATACATCAAGCCCATACTCAGCCATTGCTGGGTAGAAACAGAAAAGTTTTGGGGTGAGCTAGCCAAGCTTGATTTACCAGGGCCAGGACGTATTGAGTAGGTGGGATTCCATTTTAACGGAAGATGTGATTAGAAGGATTGTTGGAGCCTCAACAGCAGTCTACTGGAGCCTTTGCACATGGCTCCGCTGAGGCTGTGTCTCATATCGCCACCACAAACATCTATAGAGGCGTTCTTGTCAAATTCAATTACTTAATCGGCTTCTCAGTGCCTGCTAAAGCCGCAACACTGACCAAACACCGTGCGTTCGGTGACTCCAAGAACTTTCAGATATACTCTCCCACCCAGCAACGTGTGCATTGGGAATGAACAGAGGCATTTGAAAAAGTACACTAATCAGGTATTCCAGGAGTGTCTGGGGAGCCCTGGGAAAGACACCGAAAATGGGGGAAGAGATTGAATGTGTGGGCGATAACAAGTCTTTTCATTGTAGTAAATTCCACGTGACGTTCCGATCAATCTCCCAGTGAATCCATGGGCGCGTCAGCTCTCGCGTAGGAGATAGCGTCCCCGGGCTATTTAGTCACCAAACATGGGGCAGAGACACCTGAAAAAGAGGCGCACTAATCGATCTGTTTTTCTTGTAATCCTTTGCCTTCGCTATGCTGGCTGGCTGGCTGCTGACTTTGTTCTCCTGAATGTCTCTTCCGGTTGGTTTCAGCAGTACTGAAGGAAACATTAAGAAACGGAAGTGTGCTGCCAGAGATTCAGATTCCACTTCGGTTCTCTCCCACGTCACTCATACATTCACCACTATCTGCAAAAACTCCACAAGCTGCTGTTTTGACTGAATTATTGGGAGTTGTAGGCTAAGACACCAGACATGCACTACGTTATGAATCGGAGAGCAAATCGGGCATGATTTTTTATGACTACACTAACCTCGCTCCACTGATGGGGTACACGAGTGGGAGGTGGCTTGGAAGGATGCCTCATCTCAGCTTATTCCTCAAACCAGCGATCGTGCTAAATTATTCACCAACTTTATAGTAGTTTCCTTGTAAACAGATCGATACGTACCAACATCGCATGCCGGTATGGTCTCGGAATCCGTAAACAAGCCACTGGAGAGCACTGATATTGCAAGAACCCTGGTGGGTTGACTTTTTGCCCCACCTAGCTAAAAACTGGTTGGGAATTAACCGCCACAAACAAGGCGGAGTAATGACTTTGATATACGCTGGAGTGATGCTCACCATATGAATGAACACAATCAAATCGTTCCTGAGGAGTCCCAGTCGTACAACTGTAGCTTGAAGTGGGCAACAATCGTTTTTCGAGGTTTCGTGAAGCTTTAACCCTGCTATTACTTTTTACGGGCGCACCTTCACCATATATAGAAAAGTAATAAGGCAGTCAGTCTCGCGTCCTTTTCGAGTTCCTTTCAAGATGACTGCATGAAGCTTCACATGCATTCATTATCGTTTCGTTGACACTGAGGGCAGATACATCTTCAAAGGGGAAGGAACATCGTCGTCGACGTGCACTTGCAGCAGCGAGGATGTGGGGGGATACCTTGATGCACGCCGATAGCCATTAGCACCGTCGTGTTACCCAGACAAAACAATGCTTGGTTAATGCAATTTTATTCGTTTTGCTTCTATTGCTGGAACCTTCTCCCAAATGGAATTTTTGCTTTGGTCAACGATGAATTACATCGTTTCTACGTCTTTCTCACAAATGAACCAGTCGAACTGTGGGAATAGAAAAAGCAAAGAAGAGCTACAAGTGTTCCCACCCTACTGGTTAGATCTTAATTGCACTATGTATCTGGCAGTAGTTTTTGCTTGATTCCCAGCTGAGGAATTCATGAATTTTGAAAGAGCGTTTGCATAATTTAATGTGGCAATTAAAAATAACCTCTGCACGAAAGCCGTGAATTTTAGCTTTTCTGGTCTTCACAGACTATGAAGGTGATCGAGAAAAAAAGAGAAAAAAGGAAAAAAGGAAGGGGAAGGGGAAGAACAAACGAAGGAGAAAGAAAAGAATCGGGGAGTTTCATAGCGGTTTTCATGATTACCTGCTCAATTTTCCTGAAGGAGATTGAAGTAGTAGAAAGCAAAACAGTGTGCCTCACAGAGAAAGGGATTGAAAACCCATGGTTTTTGTTTTCCAGTAACGACGGTACTTCCTCCATCAGTTTATTTGTTCATCAAAACGTCAAGAATCCCTTGAAGAATTACTTGGAATCTTCTATGTCGACTATACCACTTTTCTACGCGAAATCGTCTGAAGAGCGACGTATGATAAAGTTTGTGGGATTGACCTCTCGTTTTGGGATATCCTCAGGCACTCGACGTCATTTTAACGTGGAGCAGCCAGCTGAGTGCATGCTTTCATCATATTGTCCCTCAGGAGAACAAAACTCGTTTGAAGACTCCATCATAACTCTTGACGGAGGAACTTGATTAAATATGTAATGTGATTACTGCTTTGTTAGGTATAGCCATGCCGCCTCAGCTTTCACTCTTTACCAGGAATGAGCCAATTCTTGAATTTGTTAATTTTGCTTCTGCCTCGAGGTTGGTATGTGGAAATTTCCTGATAGAACGCCACAAACGCTAGAGCCAAGAGGCGCTTAGTGGGATAGTGTGCAATCAACAAGCTTTAACCCATATACAGGCCTTTAGAACGACAAGTCCGTCGAAACGTTGGCCAGGATAATAATTTTCACCTACCAGCCTCGAGGCAGAAGCAAAATTAACAAATTCGAGAACAACAGAAATGCCGAGATTTCAAGATGAGAGGACTTCGACATGAGCCAGTTCTACTGTTCAGTTGCCGTCGTAGTTGCCAAGTTTTTCTTTGACAATTGATTCTTGTTGCTCCTACTCCAACTGCCTGAAAAAAACCGAAGAAAAATTCCAGCTAGGGTTTCAACAACAGAATTGCTCGGCAACTTTCATACACTGAGCCCTTTCACAAGTAATTGCCAAGTTTGAGTAAATTATTGTCGTCCATTCACCATTTATAGAATCATCCCAAGCTGTTTTTTGTGGTAAGAGCACCCTGGAGACCAATGCCATTCACCAAGACTTTTATAGCATTTCCATAGCAAGCGAGTTATTGCATCTCATCTCGTAGATGCATTGTACTAGAGCAAATCCCCTGCTTATTCCCGGAGAATCGCGTCCCACCCAATAAAATCGTTGTGTATTAGCCGCTCCCAGCTAACCGACTTTTCCCGAATTGGGTCAGGTCATGACAGTGTTTGACTGGCAGCTGTTTTGTCGCTATCCACTTGTCACCCACGGCGTTTTGGCGCAGCAATTTATGCATTATTCAGCGCGATCAGCTTGGGCCTAATAGGCGAAACTCGATAGCGTTGGAGATGGATGCCATGGTGAGCAAACGAGCCGGCCTCATTTGAAAATTGCTCCAATGGGCCGGAAATACTATTGAAGCAATTCAATGGATACTGAAATTCTTCGTTTTCAGAATGTCGTCGACGATTCGTCACGTCAATGGTGGGTTTCCGACGGCCGCTTCAGCCTTGTACGTCCGTTTTATGGCCTGCGTATCGCACCGATTCTTCCCGAAGACTCTGGTGTCTATCGTTGCCGTCTGGAGACCGATCCACTCTTCGCTCTCACCATGTCTACGGCTTCGGTTGAACTGGCCGTGATGGGTAAGCTCACTATTATGCTCGTTGTCCCTCAATAATAGTTTTTGGTCGCTCCCGGGCAAGATCAGTCACGAAACGACCCAAATCGAGGGAGGGGGGATGGAGGGAATCATGGCATGTTGGGGAGTCATTCGAGCATCACTAGAATGAGTCAGAGTTCCGATTTCGAAATGGACCAGCGTATGGGATTCCCTCAGGAAAACATCAATTACAGGGCGATAAGATCAGTACGGGTTCCTGGTTGAGAGCTCGACTTAGTAATCCATAGCTACTTATTAATTATATATAAAGAGAAGGTTTTTTCTATATTTTGAGAGGTTTTCAGCTTCTACAGCTTATAGGTATGTAGTGTCGCATCTGCCGGAATCTTCAGGGATTTTTCAACAAGGTTTTGCAGAGCGAATAGGATTCCCCCAGATGCATCGTATCGCATTTACTCGGTATTTATAGTCGACAATTATTTGAAGTCGATGCAGTTGGCCATTTCCACTGCATTAAATAGCTCTGGTTCTCGTCAGACTCCAATAGAAATCTGAATTAAGAAGGGCGAGGGCAAGAGGGGTCTCAGTAGTGTAAGAGTACGATGACCGGATTGCCCCAGTTCGAGTCAGTCCGAGGCGGAAGTTTTGTCCATAGTTCGAGAACCTTGTGAGACTTTCGCATCGCGTACTGC